CGAGTTATCGCTAACATACCTTAGAAATTCGATTAAAATTAGGAAAACTTTAAATCGCTATAATTTCGAAGATAATAATCCTAGATCAATGGGTGAAAGATCATTAGAAATGGGGATCCTTGCTCTTTAAAACACTCTTTGATTTATCTCGATTCGACTTTCGATTCACGAGATATACCTGTGTAAAAAAAAGGGTAATTTTTAATAGTTTACTATTTCTATTTTTGTCGCACATCCGGACTTTGCACGAGTTATCGCTAACATACCTTAGAAATTCGATTAAAATTAGGAAAATTTTAAATCGCTGTAACTTCGAAGATAATAATCCTAGATCAATGGGTGAAAGATCATTAGAAATGGGAATCCTTGCTCTTTAAAACACTCTTTCTTTTATCTCGATATGACTTCTAGTTTCCGAGATATCCTTGTGTAAAGAAGAGAATAATTTTTAATCGTTTACTATTTTCGTCCTTATCGCACACCCGGACTTTGACAAGTTATCGCTAACATACCTTAGAAATTCGATTAAAATTAGGAAAACTTTAAATCGCTATAACTTCGAAGATAATAATCCTAGATCAATGGGTGAAAGATCATTAGAAATGGAAATCCTTGCTCTTTAAAACACTCTTTGATTTATCTCGATACGACTTCCGGTTCCCGAAATATCATCCTGTAAAGGATGAGTAGAAGGAGTAATTTTCTCTTCACGTATTATCTCTATCATTTTCTCACTCGCGTTTAAGTTCATCACCTCTCTCAAATTTCAAACAAACGACAAAAAATTTCTTCCCATTCGTAATCTCTTCTCCGTTGTGAAAACTTTGAATGCTCATATCAAGACGAATCGAAAAGTAATTTCAATGGCTCGATTTCTCTTATATTTTCGACTATCTAAAGATTTCAAATTACATTGTAGCTTTTTATTTTCGCAACAAAAATAATGAATGCACGGTCCAATTTACTATAAAACTTCCCTCTTGTACAAATATTCCGCTTGAATAAAACTCGCTCGTCATCGCGCGATTTTTACAGGCGGTCTAACCTCCGAGGCGAGTCTGAGGATAACGGTGACCGACGTGAACGACAATTCTCCCGTTTTTATCCGTATGATCGTGCTCCCGGAGCAGGGTGTTCGCGTCTCGAACGAGGCCGATACCGAGGCGTCGTTCGAAGGGAACGACGTGCCCGATACGGACGACACTGGGACAGGAAATCAAGCATCGAGCGCCCGTCGTTCGCCCCTTCTTCTCGTTCCGGAAAACGCGACGATCGGGGCGCCGATAATACGGCTCCTCGCCGAGGACAAGGACGAGGGAACAAACGCGGCGATAACGTACAGCCTGGGGAACGAGACGGTTTCCGGTGACGACGTTGAATCACGACTCGAGGCCACCAATCGTAGATACTTCCATCTGGATCCAAGGTCGGCCGAGATATCGGTGGCCAGGGGGCTCACCGCCGAAACCAACGTGCGTTTCCTAGCCCTGGCCAAAGATCCCGGGGGATTGTTGGACAATATTACCATCCGGATCCACGTGGTCGACGTGAACGATCATCCCCCTAGCTTCGACAAATCCTGGTACACGTTCGACGTAGCCGAGGGCACCTACGCCGGATACACGTTGGGCACCGTTCGAGCAATGGACGCGGATCACGGAGGGAACGCGAACGTCACTTACGAGTTGACGACGAAGGAAAATTCGACCAGTTTTGGAAACGTGTCCAGGATCTTCGAGATCGGCCCTAGGGAGGGAATAATCAGAGTGACTGGTATTCTCGACAGGGAAACCGTACCTGTTC